TCTGTGTCATGAAGATCTCTTTTGTATAGTGCTTCTGTGTATTCTTTCCACCTCTTCTTAACATCTTCTGCTTCTGTTAGGTCCATACCATTTCTGTCCTTTATTGTGCCTATCTTTGCATGAAATGTTCCCTTGGTATCTCTAATTTTCTTAAAGAGATCCCTAGTCTTTCCCTTTCTATTGTTTTCCTCTATTTCTTTGCATTGATCACTGAGGAAGGCTTTCTTATCCCTCCTTGCTATTTTTTGGAACTCTGCATTCAAATGGGTATATCTTTCCTTTCGTCCTTTGCCTTTAGCTTCTCTTCTTTTCTCAGCTATTTGTAAGGCCTCCTCAGACAGCCATTTTGCCTTTTTGCATTTCTTTCTTGGGTATGGTCTTGACCATTGCCTCCTGTACAATGTCATGAACCTCTATCCATACTTCTTCAGGCACTCTGCATATCAGATCTAATCCCTTGATCTATTTGTAGCTTCCACTGTATAATCGTAAGGGATTTGATTTAGGTCATACCTGAATGGTCTAGTGGTCTTCCGTACTTTCTTCAATTTAAGTCTGAATTTGGCAATAAGGAGTTCATAATACGAGCCACAGTCAGCTCCTGGTCTTGTTTTTGCTGACTGTATAGAGCTTCTCCATCTTTGGCTGCAAAGAATATAAGCAATCTGATTTCAGTATTGACCATCTGGTGATGTCCATGTGTAGAGTCTTCTCTTGTGTTGTTGGAAGAGAATGTTTACTATGACCAGTGCATTTTCTTGGCAAAACTCTGTTAGCCTTTGCCCTGCTTCATTCTGTACTCCAAAGCCAAATTTGCCTGTGACTCCAGGTATCTCTTGACTTTCTACTTTTGCATTCCAGTCCCCTATAATGAAAAGGACATCTTTTTGGGGTGTTAGTTCTAGGAGGTCTTGTAAGTCTTCATAGAACAATTCAACTTCAGCTTCTTCAGCATTACTGGTCGGGGCATAGTTTTGGATTACTGTGATACTGAATGGTTTGCTTGGAAACAAACAGAGATCAGTCTTTCATTTTTGAGATTGCACCCAAGTACTGCATTTCAGACTCTTTTGTTAACTACGAGGGCTACTCCATTTCTTCTAAGGGATTCTTGCCCACATTAGTAGATATAATGGTCACCTGAGTTAAACTCACGCATTCCAGTCCATTTTAGTTCACTGATTCCTAAAATGTCGATGTTCACACTTACCATCTCCTGTTTGACCACTTCCAATTTACCTTGATTCATGGACTTAACATTCCAGGTTCCTATGCAATATTGTTCTTTATAGCATCAGACTTTACTTCTATCACCAGTCACATCCACAACCGGGTGTTGTTTTTGCTTTGGCTCTGTCTCTTCATTTTCTCTGAAGGTATTTCTCCACTGTTCTCCAGTAGCATATTGGGCACCTACCAACCTGGGGAGTTCATCTTTCAGTGTCCTGTCTTTCTGCCTTTTCATATGGTTCATGGGGTTCTCAAGGCAAGAATACTGAAGTGGTTTGCCATTCCCTTCTCCAGTGGACCACGTTTTGTCAGAACTCTCCACCATGACCCGTCTGTCTTGGGTGGCCCTACACAGCATGGCTCATGGTTTCAGTGAGTTACTGACAAAGCTGTGTTCCATGTGATCAGTTTGTTGAGTTTTCTGTGATTGTGGTTTTCATTCTGTCCAGCCCTCTGATGGATAAGAATGAGGCAAATGGAAGTTTCCTGATGGGAGAGACTAACTGAGGGGGAAACTGGGTCTTTTTCTGATGAGCAGGGCCATGGTCAGTGAGTCTTTAATCCAATTTTCTATTGATAGGTGGGGCTGTGTTTCCTATTGTTTGACCTGAGGCCAAACTATGGAGGAGGTAATGAAGATAATGGCAATTTCCTTCAAAAGGTCCCATGCAGGCACTACCACACTCAGTGCCCCCGACCGTGCACCTGGCCATAGCCGACCCATGCCTCTGCCAGACTCCTGGATACTCACAGACAAGTCTGGGTCAGTCTTTTGTGGGGTCACTGCTCCTTTCTCCTGGGTCCTGGTGCACACAAAGTTTTGTTTGTGCCCTCCAGGAGTCTGTTTCCCCCATTCTGTGTAAGTTCTGGTGGCACTATGTTGGGGTTAATGGCAACCTCCTCCAAAAGGGCTTATGCCATACCCAGTTTTGCTGCACTCAGAGCCCCTGCCCCTGTGGCAGGCCACTGCTGACTCATACGTCCACAGGAGACACTCAAACAAAGGCAGGTGTGGCTCAGTCTCTGTGGATTTCTCCTGGTACACACAAGGTTTTGTTTGAGCCCTTTGAGTGTCTCTGGTGGGCATGGGGTTTGATTCTATATATGCTTTTGCCCCTCCTACCATCTTGCTGGGACATGTACACACTGCTATATTTAAAATGAGTAACAAAAAACTATTGTATAACACATGGAATTCTGCTCAATGCTATGTGCCAGCCTGAATGGGAGGGGGGTTTGGGGGAGAATGGATACATGTATATGTATGTCTGAGTTCCTCCACTGTTCATTTGAAACTATCACAACGTTGTTAATTGGCTATACCCCAATACAAAACATTTTTGGTGTTAAAGAATAAAAATAAATTTGAAAGAAAAAAAAATACTGGAGTGGGTGGTCGTTTCCTTCTCTAGAGGACCTTCCTGACCCAGGGATCAAACCCACATCCCCTGCATTGGAAGATGGATTCTTAGCCACGGGATCAGCATGGGAGGTCCCATGACAACTAAACTGACATGAAGGATGATGTGATGAGGCAGACAATGCCCAGGGCCACTTATGCAAGTGAAGAGACAGGGGAAGATTTCACAGAAGAGGAGGCAATGGAGCTGTCTTGAAGGATAAACTGGAGTTTCCCAGATGAACAAAAGAGGGAGAAGCACTGCAGCCAGAGAAAAATTAGCCCAAGAGGCAGGAAGGGTGGAAGAAACTGGTGGCGTTTGAGGAGCTGTGTGGTCGTCCACACAACTGGGACAGGGAAGACTGCCAGGAGAGCTGGGCCTGGAAGGAAATGAGCAGGGGTCCTTCGTGGTCAGGTTCATGTCTGGTAAGATCACCGTGACTGTGGTCTGAGAAAGAAAGGGAAGAGAAGTAGACAAAAGGCAGGAACCCAGGGCGGGGCTCTTGCCCAGTTCAGCTTAGACACTCAGAGTCTGGACAAAAGGGACAATAGGACGAGGCGAGGAGGGAACAGGTTAAGAGAGACTTCCCAGGTGGCTTGGTGGGTAAGGAATCTGCCTGCAATCCAGGAGACACCGGAGACATGAGTTTGATCCTGGGGTTAGGAAGATCCCCTGGAGAAAGGCATGGCAAGCACTGGAGTGGTCCAGTATTCTTGCCTGGAGAAGCCCATGAACAGAAGAGCCTGGTGGGCTACAGTCCATAGGGTCTCAAAGAGACAACCGAACATAACTGAAGAGACTGAGCTCGTATGCATGCTCAGAGGCAGAAACAATGGGACCTGGGGATAGGTACGGTGTGGGATGTGAGTGAAAGAGCAGCACCCTGGAAGCCTCCTGGGTCTCTGGCTATAGCCAGACTTCCCCCACGAGCCATGGGATCCATGGCTATGATCCCATCTACCAGCCATCAGCTCAAATCTCATTTCCTGAGCAGACACCACCAATCAACAGAAATAACATCTAACTTGCAGGACATCAAACCTTTACTTTTTTTTAATTTTAATTGGAGGCTAATTACTTTACAATATTGTGGCAGTTTTTGCTATACATTGACATGAATCAGCCACGGGTGTACATGTGTCCCCCATCCTGAACCCCCCTCCCACCTCCCTCCCCCTCCCATCCCTCAGGGTTGTCCCAGTGCACCAGCTTTGAGTGCCCTGTTTCATGCATTGAGCTTGGACTGGTCATCTATTTCACATATCGTAATATACATGTTTCAATGCTATTCTCTCAAATCATTCCACCCTCGCCTTCTCCCAGAGTCCAAAAGTCTGTTCTTTATATCGGTGTCTCTTTTGCTGTCTCACATATAGGGTCATCATTACCATCTTTCTAAATTCCATCTATATGCGTTAATATACTCTACTGGTGTTTTTCTTTCTGACTTACTTCACTCTGGCTCCAGTTTCATCCATCTCATTAGAACTGATTCAAATGCGTCCTTTTAAGACACCAGATCTTAAATTCATCAGTGACTGACACCCGGAACAGCAGAGATGGGAACACATCAGCCAGATTTAAATATTTAAATCATAAAAGATTTCAGTCTGTTGTCCATCAAATGTTAGAAAGCGTCAGACACAATTTCAGGTTGAGTAAGTGAAGCTATGATGAAAGGGGAGAATATTCTTGGGGAACTTTGAATGCAAAGCTAACCCCAAGTAATTCAGTAATTGCTGGGTCTCTGTGTGCCCACCAGACTGACCCAGACCCTGACAGGACTTCATGACAGTGTCCATTCCCCATAAGTTTCCTTTCCCCTCACACTCTGAGTTGGAGCACAGCGCCTCATGAATGTTCAGTTTACACTTCAAAGCAGAACCGGGGATTCCCTAAGGGCTCAAGTGGTAAAAAATCTGCCTGCAATGTGAGAGACCTGGGTTCAATCCCTGGGTCGAAAGGAGATAACAGCAATCCACCCCACTATTCTTACCTGGAGAATCCCATAGACAGAGGCGCCTAGCGGGCTATAGTCCATGGGGTCACCAAGAGTCAGGCTCGACTGAGCAACTAAACCACCACCACCACAAAGCAGATGGACCAACCTGGGACATTAAGGCCAGAAAGTTAAATTGAAAATCACACAGTGATAGCCTCTGTTTTAATCAATGTTCTATTACACATAAGGCTATTGATTTTTAAAACTGGTTTCATGTTAGGTGTATCTTACGTTAAAAACAATATAGCCCATATTCACATTAGTGTGCAATTTCCACTTATTTCTGACAAAGAGAAAATACATATAGTCGCCTTTTTTCTGGCACAAAACCTTGATTATTCAGCTGTGGTCGTCAGAGCCAAAGATGCTCAGCAGTCTTCGTAAAGCACTTCGTCTACCTTCACATCATTCTCATCCACCGGGACCTGGAGGCAGATCTGCTCTTTGAAAGCCAAGGCCAGGGTGTAGGGTTTCACGTCCTGGGACTGCAGACAGCGCTTCAGGTAGGCATCATAGTAGCCCTTGCCCCGTCCCAAACGGTTGCTCTGTTTGTCGAACCCGAGACCCGGCATGAAGATGAGGTCAAGTCCCCCTGTGGAAAAGAGGAGCAAATTTATAAGGAAGGTTAATATGGACAGGGGCGAGGGCCACACCAGGTACCCACTGACCGGAGAGGGGGCAGCTACTGTATTTGTGACTGATAAGGCCACAGGCAATATCCATGTCACCAAGAGCCTGGGCCAGGAGGGGAAGGCACAGTACGTGCTACTGGCCCAAGCCGTGGATCAGACTGCCAATGACCCCCGGAGCCCCCATCGGAGTACATTATCAAGGTGCAAGACGTCAGTAACAACCCACCCATCTTTCTCCTCGGGCCCTACCATGGCACAATGTCCAATGTGGGCAGGAAAATACCGATCACTTCCCGATCTGGATTTTGTTTTTCAACGACGTCCTTTTTTTCTTTTTTTTGGAGTACAGTTGCTTTACAATGTTGTGTTAGTTTCTCTGTACAGCAAAGTGAACCAGCTATATGTTTACATATGTCCACTCCTGCTTGGATCTCCCACCCTCACCCCTCTAGGTCATCACAGAGCACCAAGCTGAGCTCCCTGTGCTACACAGCAGCTTCCCACTAGCTATCTCACACATGGTAGTGTATATAAGGATTGATAAATGATTTCTATTTCTTCTCTGACTTTTAATGAAATACATGATCACTGTAGAAATTCTGAAAAAACTGAAAAGACAAAGAAAGAAATAAAAATTACTCAGCAACTAGTAAGCCCATCATCCATCCTCTGGCAGTTCTTTCAAGTATGCATGCTAAATTTGCTTCAGTCGTGTCTGACTCTGCGATCCCATGGACTGTAGCCTGCCAGGCTCCTCTGTCCATGGGATTCTCCAGGCAAGAATACTGGCGTGGATTGCCATGCCCTTCTCCATTTTTCATGTATACATGTACGAAAATGCTAGATTCCCAGGCCCTATCCACACCTAGTTAAAGAGAATCTCAAGACTTCCCTAGTGGTCCAGTGGCTGAGAGGCTGCTATCCCTACACAGGTGCCCTGGATTTTATCTCTGGTCAGGGAACTAGATCCCACGAGCCACAATTAAGAGTTCACATGGCTCAACTAAAGATCCCACATGCCACAACTAAGACCTGGCACAGCCAAATAACTAAAAATAAATGTTAAAGAAGATAAAGAGAATCTCCAAGGATAGGGCCTAAGAAGTCCTTTTTCTCTTAATTTCTTTCTCTAAGCATACAGATGACCCTACACACACTCCTGCCAAGTTTGGGAGCCAATGTCCCAGGGCGCTGACAACTGGCAGAGCGGGAGAGGGTCAGGGGGAAATCAGGGAGGACAGAGCTCTTGTCAAAGTCGATGAGCAGCAGTAGGGTGAGCTGTTAGGAGGGCCAAACTGACCCTTTTCATCTCCCCTCTTACAGAAGCGGGGAGGCCAAATTGTCCTGCTTTCCTGGATTCATGTGAATGCGACCTTTGACCTATTCAGGAACATTCCGAAGGTACCAGATGGGGTCCCGTGGTTGGTCCTCTGGCCGGAACTCTCCCAGGGACACAAGGACCAGAAATGGCCACGGTGTTGTCAGCACAGGGCTCAGAGAGGAGGGCAGGGTCTTCAAGGTTACAAAAAGCTGTCCACAGTTAGAGGTGTGCAGAAGGCCACAAAGGTCGTGAGGAGCTCCGTGGACTCTGTGAGGTCCAGGGAGTGACCCTCCAGCCCCTGGCGGGGAGCCGGACACACCAGCGCTGCTCACAAGCAGCAGAACACACCCAACCCAGCCGTCTACCTGGTGGCCATCCTGTATCGAGCCTCAGCCTTCTGAGGGCTGTCCTGGGGGGCTCCAAGTGACCTCCAGCTTAGCAGGGACTGACCACACATGCAGTGTTGCTGGCAAAGACGTACCAGCAAGGGCTGGGAGCCATGAATTCTCTGGAATGGGCTGTTCAGGGTAGAAGTGTTCAGACTGCCAGCCAGGCTGGCCGCCCACTATCAGCAGCTGTTCTGACTGCCTGCGGAACTGCAAGATGAACCCAGCTTCTCCTGGGCACTCAGCACACCTGCCAACCCTTGCCTGCCAAAACCTGGCTGAGCACACTTCCGATGACAGGCATGACCTTCTTGAGGAAACCTGCTCATCTACTCTAATCCCAACTTGCTATAGGGCTCTGGCCACTGACCGTCACCTTCCCTCCCTGTCCCTGCTCTGCTCATCTCTCTCAGGAATCACAGTGTCTTCTGGCTTAGACTCCGCCCCCTCCAAGTCCTCCTCCTGAGCTTAGAGTTCAGCTCTGTCATTACGCCCAGAACACACCTGCACACATCTTTTCCTCCGTTCCTTTGTGGACCCACGTCACAGAACATAAGGAAAGAGTTTCCCGTAGAAGAAAGTGGAAACAACGTCAGGAGCTGGCAAAAAGGACGGTAAGGTGCAGACAGGACACTATCATCAGAGTCAGCAACAAGGGAATTGGCAGGGTAAGGTTAACTTTGGGAGATGGGGCAGACGCTGAGCTGTACAATCCTCATCGACACTCCCCCGCTCCCTGGCAAAAAAATAAAAGCCTAGGAGCTAGGCCCTGAAAAAAAATGAGGAAAGAGGATTCTCTAAAGGCCTTAATTTATTCTGGAGACTGAAAGTACACGCTAGGCACTGAGGATTCAGTTCACCTTCACAAAACATCCTTTTTACCTCTGGCCAAGGAGGCAGCAGCTGGGCCACAGACACCTCTTAGGATGCTCTGAACTCAAACTGTCCATCCTGGGTTTTGTAGGACAATATAATCAGCTTGGCCAGAGGACTCCTTTTAATACTAAAGAGAAAGCTGAAAACAGCAAGAGTCCAGCAGTTAAACGGAGCTTTCTAACATTCCTTTCAACACATCCTATGCATAACCTTCTCTCTCTTTCTCCTTGCTCTTCTTGCTAAGTTCAGTGTCATGGCCACATCTCCCACAAAATCCTCTGCAGGAACTTGATAAACTTCTCCATGCCCGCTCTGTATCCTGCCAGAAACCTCAGCTCAACTTTTTGAAGATGCCATTTCTCCTGGAATTCCAACTGTCATCCCAGCTCCAGGCCCTGCTGGTCCAAATCCATCTTCACCTATGTGACTCCCTATGTCCCAAAACTCTCCGTCAATAACAAGCTCCTAAAGGTAACATCCACATCCTTAACTGGGGGCACAGCCACACACTCTCACCCCAATCACCTCGCCCACAGCATCTCCCATTACACTTGGGCGATCCTAGATAAATGGACAGATTCCTTGTCCCACACGTCTGCCCCATGACTTCCTGCTTTTGCTCTTGGGATGCTATTTTCCATGTCTGCAAATAATCTTTTTTTTTAACTTTTTATTTTGTTTTGGGGTACAGTCGATTAACAATGTTGTGATAGTTTGATAGTTTCAGGTGAAGAGAGAAGGGACTCAGCCATACATATACATGTATCCATTCTCCCCCAAACTCCCCTCCCATCCAGGCTACCACATAACATTCAGCAGAGTTCCCTGTGCTGTACAGTAGGTCCTTGTTGGTTATCCATTTTAAATATAGCAGTGTGCACATGTTTAATCTTTTCATCAATTTGTCTATTGTAACAGTCCTCACAGACCACAGTGAAATGTCCATCCAGCTATCCCTGCCCATGCAGTCTGGTGTGACCAGCTCGTATCCTACACTGCAAGTTGCCCATGGTCCATTAAGCAGGCAGAATCCTTTCCCCTACCTCTGGGAACAGTTTTTGTGGTTCCCCAGAAAGATGCTGATCTCAGTTCTATTTACTATGAAGGGAAGAATGAGAGTAAAAGATAAAATAAGACATCTCTTGTTATCTAAGTTTCCTGACTATATTCAAGTAGCTACCTGTTCAGATCATCCTATGCAACATCTGACTCTTATCCAAAGTCCACCTTCTAGAAGAGGAGAAGAAGCACAGAAGCTAACATTTGTGAAGTGTCTACAATGTGGCAGGCACCATTCTATACCCCTGGGACAGAAGGATGAATCACATAAGCTGATCAGTTCATCTACCTGATGAGGCAGGAGGGCAAGCATTACTACCATCCCCTGAAGAAAGATACATACACAGTGCTCAGAGAGGTCTAACTGCTCCTTGAAGGCATTCAGCTCGTAAGAAATGAAGCTGAGGGCTTGCAGTCCAGGTGGATCGCAATTCCACAGCATACGCTGCTCCTGCTGCTGAAAGGCACAGGTGACCTCAGTCAAACAGACAGAGGATAAAGGACAAGAACAGGCACCTTAGAGCCAGTGGTGCAGAGGAGTTGCGGGTGCAGGGTGCAAGATATGCTATTATTGTTGTTTAGTCGCTCAGTCATGTCCACCTCTTTTGTGGCTCCATGGATGGTAGCCCACCAGGCTCCTCTGTCCATGGGATTCTCCAGGCATTAATACTGCAGTGGGTTGTCATTTCCTCCTCCAGAGGATCTTCTTGACTGACCCAGGGATCCAACCCATGTCTCCTGTGGCTCCTGCATTGCAAGCAGATTCTTTACTGAGCCACTGGCAAAGCCCATCATGGATGGATATAATATCAAATATTATATGATCTCACTTGTATGTGGAACCTAAAAAAATAATACAAATGAATCTATATACAAAATAGAAACAGACTCACAGACACAGAAAACAAACTTATGTTTACCAAAGGGGGAAACAGGTTTGGATAAATTAGGAGTATAGGACTAGCAGACACAAATTACTATTCATAAAATAGATAAGCAACAAGGATTTACTATATAGCACAGGAAACTATGTTCGATATCTTAAAATAACTTTTAATGGACAACAATGGGAAAAATACATATATGTAACATATGTATGACGGAATCACTTTGCTACACACCTAAAATTAACACAATGTTGTAAAGCAACTATATTTCAATTTTTTTTAAAATAGGGTTGGGGAACTGAAAGAGATTCAGAGTGGGCTGGAATTCAGATGATAAAGTAAGGGAGTAGAAAGATGTACAAACGGAAAGAATAGCAAGGCTCAATCAGGAAGAGCCTTGGATTTTTTGTTTCATTTTTATTTTTTTGGTCACACCTTGCAGCATGTGGGACCTTAGTTCCCTCACCAGGGATCTAACCTGCACCCCTTACACTGGAAGGTGGCATCTAAACCACTGGATCTCCAGGGAAGTCCAGGAAGAATCTTGTTAAGGAATGTTTACTTCAAAGTAAGGGCAACAGAAAGTCAATGAAAGACTTTAAACTGGGGAGAGAAGTCAACTTTGCATTTCAGAAATCTTGTTGCAATGACTATATAAATATGACTGAGAGGGAGGACAGAATAAAAGGCGTGGAGAGGAAGAAGAGTTGGGAGGCTATTATAACCCAGACAAGGGGGGATAGTGGCTTGGACTGCAGTGGGATAAGAGAGAAGTGGATAGATTCAACAAGTATTAATCCTCAGGGGTTTTCCTGGTGGCACAGTAGTAAAGAACCTATCTGCCAATGCAGGAGACCTGGGTTCAATCCCTGGATCAGGAAGATCCCCAGGAGAAGGAAATGGGAACCCACTCCAGAATTCTTGCCTGGGAAATCTCATGAACAGAGAAGTCTGTCGGGCTGCAGTCCGTGGGGTTGGACACAACTTAGTGACTGAACAACAAGTAAAATCACCAGGAGTTGGCAATGGGCCACACATGGAACATGTGAGAAAGAGAAGAATCAAGGGTGATCTTGAGACTTCTGATGTGGTCAACTGGGTGAGTGATCGTACAATACACTAAGAGAAACACAAGACAGGAGGCATAAGGGAGCATGATTCACTTTGGAACATGTTATGTGTGATATGACCATGTGACGCCCAAGTAGTTGACAAGTCTGTGCTGGAGACACAAATGCTCATAGCATTAATAATAACATACTCATGACCAGACTTCCCTGGTGGCTCAGACGGTAAAGTATCTGCCTACAATGTGGGAGACCTGGGTTCAATCCTTGGGACGGGAAGATCTGGAGAAGGAAATGGCAACCCACTCTAGTATTCTTGCCTGGAAAATTCCATGGATGGAGGAGCCTACAGTTCACGGGGTCGCAAAGAGTTGGACACAACTGAGCGACTTCACTCACTCACTAATTACCAGACAGACTGCAACTGAAACCACGGAAAATGCAGAGTTTTTTTTAAATTTGGCTGCGCTGGGTCTTTGCTGAAGCACAAGGGTTCTTCCTACAGCTGGAGGGTTTAGTTGCCCCAAGCCATGTGGGATCTCAGTTTCCCAACCAGTGATTGAACCCGCATCCCCTGCGTTGGAAGGCGGGTTCTTAAACACTGGACCTCCAGGGAAGTCCTGGGAAACAGAGTATTATTTAGGAAAAATGTATTATCCAACCCAGAAGTTCAGGGCAACAGTCTGTGAAAAGGAACAATACCTTTGTCCTGCTTAGTCACTCAGTCATGTCTGACTCTTTGTGACCCCATGGACTGCAGTCCACCAGGTCCTCTGTCCATGGGATTCTCCAAGCAAGAAAGGTGGAGTGGGTTGCCATTTCTTTTCCCAGGGGATCTTCCTGACCCAGGGCGCGAACCCAGGTCTCCTTGCATTGTAGATGGATTCTTTGCCAACTGAGCTACCAGGGAAGCCCCTAACACATCTTGATACTTTACTATTACAGTTGACATGTCACAGAGGGCATCTCACCCTAAGTCAGGTTAGGTGGGTGGCTTGGAACATAAGTGAAATGCACATTCATCCCTGTAGAAAAAGTGACCCTCCTGACTCAACCACGACAAGCAGATCAGAGGTGTAACAGCCAGCACAGCAGGACAGCATCCTACGGTGGCAGTTCTAACATTGTAACGCTCACCTGTTGACAAGGCCTCCTCCAGAACTGCATCCTCCCCGGGCTGCTGAATGTTCCAGGAAGTTCTGGGCAGTGAAGCGATCTCCTCTGGTGATGCTAACTTCACCATATCCATGTGATTGCTCTGCAACTGGTACCGCGGGATAAAGCAGGTTTTGCCTTGTCGGAAAATGTCCTTGATGATCTCCTCTGTCTCAATTTCATCTGGCATGCTCAGAAAGATGGACACTCTTTTGGACTTTTGATATTCACTATGGGTAAACACCTAAGCGAGAAATGATGGCAGTTAAATTTTCCCAGATGATACTTTTAAAACAAGTGGCTCGCCTTAACAGGTTTAACACTTCCTCCCTTTTCTCTCAGACTTCTCCAAACTCTTTAACCAAAAACACACATACAAACAGTGGAGTGATAAAATATGTCAAATAATATTGCATCCTGAAGCCTGACTCGTACTTCTGGACCCAACGCTTACTTCTCTGATCCCTTAACGCCTCTCTGGCACATCTACTCTTTGTTGTTGAATCTCTAAGTCGTGTCCGACTCTTTGGGACCCCATGGACTGTAGCACGCCAGACTCCCCTGCCCTCCACTATCTCCCACAGTTTGCTCAGATTCATGCCCACTGAGTCGGTGATGCTATATAACCATCTCATCCTCTGCTGGCCCATTCTCCTTTTGCCTTCATTCTTCCCAGATCTTTTCCTACTCTAGCAGATGCAAAACTTCATTAAAAGGTCACGGTGGGACCCTGCTGTCTAAAAATATGGAAAATTCCAAACTTGACCACCACCACTGGACCACCAGGGAAGTCCTTGTCTTTGTTAACATTTTAACATTCATTTGAATAGAAAAGCTTTAGCAATTAGGAGGGAGGTGTGTAGTGCCCATTCTAGCAGACTTCTCTGTCTTTCCCTGAGAGTCTCTGCTTTAACTCTGAAGCTTGGCTCCCACAAGCTTGTTTTTTTTTTATCCTCTGTGGCTGTTGTTGTCGTTGTTTTAATATTTATTTATTTGACTGCATCAGATCTTAGTTGCAACATGTGGGGTATTTAGTTGTAGCATGTGGGATCTATTTCCCTGATCAGGGATGGAACCCAGCCCCCTGCATTGGAAGCACATAGTCTTAGGCACTGGACCACCAGGGAAGCCACCCCCCAACCCCCAACCAGCACAAATTTCTTTACTCCCTAGATTGTCAGCCTTCTCTCCTCTCAAATTCCACCACTTAAGCCCAATTCAAGTCCTAACTTTTCCTGACTTCTGCAGAACCCTTACTATGTGTAGAGTCACTATACAACCTAACAGCTATGTGCTGCTGCTGTAAGTCAATTATTCATTGTTTTGTGGGTCCTAAACAGAGCATCCTAGCCAGTCTATAAACTCCCTGGGGCAGACTACATGCCATACAATTCTGTTGGCACTATCCACGTCCCTCCCAATTGCTAAAGCTCTTCTATTCAAATCAATGTTAAAATGTTAACAAAGACCAGGATTTCTCTGATGGTCCAGTGATTAAGACTTCCACTGCACGGGGCAAGTGGTCGGGCAACTAAAATCTCACATCCCACAGTTGCTGCTCAGTCGTGTCCAACTCTTTGCAACCCCATGGACTGCAGCACACCAGGCTTCCCTGTCCTTCACCATCTCTCAGAGTTTGCTCAAACTTAGGTCCATTGAGTCAGTGATGCCATCCAACCATCTCATCCTCTGTTGTCCCCCTTCTCCTCCTGTCCTCAATATTTCCCAGCATCAGGGTCTTTTCCAATGGGTCGGCTCTTCACATCAGGTAGCCAAAGTATTGGAGCATCAGCTTGGGCATTATTCCTTCCAGTGAATATTTAGGGTTAGCAGGTGCACCAAAAATAATTTTTTTAATAATATAAAAAATAAAAGTGTCCACAAAAATGGAAGGTGGGGGATCCTGGATAAGCAAAGGCCCTCTAAAATGAGTGCCATGTTGTGTTAATAAGAAGGAGGACCTGGGTGAAAGCATTTTTTTGTACTCAGTTTAACAAGAAGCAGGAGTAATGGGCTGAGCTTTGCTCACTATAGAAATGTTAATAATCCCAGAACATCCCCAGTCCCTCAGCTCCCTTTTTCTTCCTTTTCTGTTCTGCCCTGTTCTCCGAGCTAAGAAGGAAAAGTGACTGCAAAGGTGGCTTATAAATATGAGTGCCAGAAAGACACAGGCACAGTGTCCAGTTATTCCTAAAAAAAAGGGACGCAGAGTTAAGGAGACAAAGCACACCAAACCAGTGCCAAGGAAGGAAGCTAACTCCATCTTTCTGAGCAGTTACAAAGCTGTTATCAGGCCCGAAGTGGGCAAAGCAAATGGAACTGTGAGACCTGGATACTGGGCAGACCTGAGGCTTTTGGCACCCAAGTACTTTCTGGGAAAGTTAAGTGTCTATCTTGGGCTCTTTAAAGCAGAACATAGAAAATCAAAACCTGAACAAGCAGTAACAAACATCAGTTAAAATTCAGTGTGAGACTGTGTATACACACATACCTTTCTTCCTCAAATCTCATTTACGTGCACACACACACGCATGCACGTAAGTGCTCGGTCCTGTCCAATTCTTTTGCAACCCCATGGACTGTAGCGTGGCAGGCTCCTCTGTTCATGGGATTTCCCAGGTAAGAATACTGGAGTGGGTTGCCATTTCCTTCTCCAGGGGATCTTTCCGACCCAGGGATGGAACCTGCATCTTCTGCATTTTCAGATGGGTTCTTTACCACTGAGCCACCAGAAAAGCCCTGGATAGGACAATATTTACAGATAAAAGCAACAGATTACAACACTGGGAGAACAAGGATATAGGTCAGACAAGAATCTGTTCTTACCACAGAATTCCAAAGTGACTACTAAAAGCAAAGGAAATCCCCATTTTAGTGATCACACCCTCATTCATAAATATGTACAGACAATAAGGGTTCATCAAACATTTTAGAAAGCCAAACACTAATTAGAAGGATTTTTTTTTTAAGAAGGATTTTTTAAAAGGGGAGGTGAGGGGAGTGATCCAGCAGGAAACAGATAATTATAATTCAAAGAACATGGATTTTTTTTTTTTAATTCTAATTAGTCTTCTCAGACAAGTTCAAGAAGATAGATGCATCTATAGGGCAAAAAAAAGGCTGCTTTGGAAAGAAAGCAGAGAATTTTTTTTGAATACTTGGAAATTAAGATTACCAAAGTTAAAACAATTCAGAAGTGGGACTTCCATGTTGGTCCAGTGGCTAAGACTCTGTTCCCAATGCAAGGGTCCTGGGTTCCATCCCTGGTCAGGGAACTAGATTCCACCTGCTGTAACTAAGTCCCTCCTGTGTGCTTAGTCAGTCACTTGTGTCCAACTCTTTGCGACCCTATGGACTATAGCCTGTCAGGCTCCTCTGTCCATGGGGATTCTCCAGTCAAGAATATTGGAGTGGGTTGCCATGCTCTCCTCCCCAGGGGACCTTCCCAACCCAGCGATCGAACCCAGGTCTCCCGCATTGCAGGCAGATTCTTTAACATCTGAGCCACCAGGGAAGCAGGTCGCAGCACAGTCAAATAAATAAATATTTTTTAAAAAAGAAAGAAATTGGCACATAGGATGTAAGATAAAATGAGTACTGGGCACTCATTTCCTCATCTTATTTGCTGAGGAGTCAAACACAGCATAAAGTTTAATTTCTTTACTGTATGTCATTTTCTGGTAAAATTGTAAATTATTTTTTTAAAATTTCTGTGTCAATAAGAATATGCCTACTTTAAAATTATTGGAGAAAGACATCATTTAATACCTTTATTGTATTGAACACACATTATGGCACATCACTGTTCTAGTCCCATTACGTTGATATTTTGGGCCTTGATCCATGGGGTGGTCATGAAACAACAGTGAGTTATAATCAGCAAATGAAATAGAAAATATCAGAGTTCACCATATACAGTAAGTTATCAAATCTTTGGTTATGAAATAGATGTCTTATATGAGTACATCTGGGTATATGGGCTCAAGTGTATTTATTACTGAGAGTTGTGGGTCTCTCCTCAGATGCCAGCACTCAGCTGTCAGTGTACTACTAGCAGTGGTCCTATCTCTATATGGCTCCTATTCCCACCTCGAGTGTTTTGTTTCTAATCTACCATAAGACAAAAAAACCAAACTGAACTCATCTTTATTCTCCCCATGCCCCTCCAAAATCCACTCCAACACCTATATTCCTTTCACCTAGTAATGTTAAAAACCCTTTACCAGGACTTCCCTGGTGGTCCAGTATTTAAAAATCCACCTTGCAATCCAGGGAAAGCAGGTTCAATCCCTGGTTGGGGAGCTAAGATCCCACATGCTGGGGAGCGACTAAGCCCATGTACCTCAACTAAGACCCAACACAGCCAAATAAATAAGTATTAAAAAATAAATAAATAAACCTTTACCTCCAGCTCTAAATTCTGAAATCATAAGTGACTCCCCATTCCCAGTACTTTCTAATGTCATCCAATTAACTGCCCAATCCTGCTGGGTCTCACTGCATAGTCTCCCACTCACCTGCCTTTTTCCCCTCAACTTCACCATCCACACCCTTGTTTACAGCTTTATTATCTCTCATCCAAACTATCACAACAGCCCCTTACTGCCCTCCATATATTTCTTCCTCATTCTTCCATCCCCAACCTATATTCCAAAAGTGCTGCCAATATTCTCTTCCTACAGGATTTATCAATACATCCCTTAGCCACTTATATAATCCTCACAATAGGTCTTGCAAGGATGGCATTATCCCTTTTACAGATAAGGAACCAGAGGCTCAGAATGATTAAGGGATTGGTCCAAGGCCCTAGGCAGCTAAAATGCAGTGTAGCCAGATTTAATCCAGATCTGCAGAGCTCCAAAATCCATGTTCAACTGTGCCTTTCCTTCTCTTGCCAAATTATTCCTGTACATGTTCATCCATCCTACCTTCCTTTCACCTGACAAAATTCATCTTGTACTACAAAAAACATCTCAAACATCTCCTATTAGAACGAAAGCCTTCTGAGTCCCCCTCCCCTAAGTTATAATTCTACAGTTGATGTTTGTTTACCAGATCCAGATTATCTGAAAGTACTGGAATTCTTTATTCACATGTCTGTTTCTTCTTTCAGACTCTGCTTCTTTAGAGCAACAATCCTATCTTTTTCATCCTATAACCAAGCACATGGCTAAGTATGGGCCACAGTAGGGTTCATAATGTGCTTCCCTGGTGGCTCAGTGGTAAAGCCTGATGGCTCTTCCAGTGAAGGAGACATGGGTTCAATCCTTGGTCCGGGGAGATCCCCTGAAGAAGGAAACAGCAACCCACACCAGTATTCTTGCCGGAAAAATCCCATGGACAGAGGAGCCTGGCGTGCTACAGTCCATAGGATCACAAAAGTCAAACATGCCTTAGCGACTAAACAACAAAGGGTTCAGTATATGTGAATTAATTAGCTAAAATTTAAGCACCTGGAGAGTAAGGATAAGATGGTATGCGTCTCTACATTCACTAAAGCAACCAATGCCATCCTCAAAATCGCTAAAAATACTGAGTTTGAAGAAACTAACATCTGCATAGAGCACCCCTCATGCACACCTATATACACAAAGAGTGGAATGAAATGCTTGTATTCGCTTTACTGTTTTTAAACCATAGGAACTTTGAGAAACTAATGGATGGTAGAATAGTGAAGGGTAATTAGGAAATTCTTATGGCACATCTAATTTCAAGGCACATCAAGGCAAAGAAGCTAATTTAACAAATATATTTACCAAATATAACATTGGTATATTAACACCCTGATAACATCCAAATATAACATCCGCATGTTGAGGAAGAGGGATCACTAGTTTGACACAGAATCACTAATATTTAGTTATTCACAGGACACTCCTTTTTCCCCCTCTGGTGTCCAGCAAAAACCAGTCGCACAGACACCTTTGGCACATGCCTCTGGGACAGGATCTGTCGACCGTTTTACTGATAAGAGAAACTGGTATCATCACATGAACAAAGTATCAATGTATAGCAAGTTAGTCTGCGAAAGTAACAAACTGGGGGCACCATAACCAAGAGACAGGAAACCGGAATCCGTTCCCTCTCTCTCCTGCTTCCTATCTTCTTGAGCAGACTGAGTGTGAGAATCAGTTCTTTCTGTCATTAATTCAAAAATGTACTTAACGTTCACCTACAACGTCACAGAAGAAGGATAGGCCCGAGGCCACGGAGACAGGGCCCAGCCCTCCACAGGCCCCGAAGGGCTTCCATCCTTGAGCATCTCTGCACCCTATTTTGCACTCGCTCCTCTGAAGTAATTGTATCTTTCTCTGGTCATTTTACTGCTATGGACTCTTTTTCATAACTTTTTTTTTTCGGCCACATCACGAAGCGTGAAGGATCTTAGTTCTCCAAGACCAGAGGTCAAACCCGTGGCCCCTGCATTGGGAGTCCGCAGTCGGAACCATCGGAAGTGCCTGTAATTCTTTAAGCGTCACTAAAGAAAGGCTCCTTGGACCCAGGTGGTCCCGCCCTCCAGATCTTTCTGTTCTCACGCTGCTCTTGCCTCAGCACCCTGTCACCCACCTCCATCCTCTCCCTCACAAGGCCCATAACTCTCCACGCCGCGCTGATTCCCGCCACACTGTGCCCAACAGCACCCCGACACCCACAGTGGGACTCGCGCGCGCTTACGGGGCATGGCACGCGCGCGCTCAGCGAACGTGCGCGCGGCGGGCGGACGTGCGCGCGCCCAAAAGGGCCGCGCCTGCGCAGATCCGCAGGTCTGGAGTCGCCCAGCTGCAGCCCCGGCGCAGAGGTGGCTGTCGTCGTGGTCTCTCACCTTCTGGGCCAGGAGATGGGACTGGCGCAGCCGCTCCTCAGCGCTTAGCGCCCGCAGACGCTGCTTCAGCTCTGCCCGCAGGCTCCGCTTGGCGCCGCTCACGGCTACCGCTGCCGCCATCTCCTGGTGCTATCCAGCCGCAGGCCGCACTCCGCGAGGTCCGCCGGCCCAAGGGTGGGTCTGGCCGCGCCCCCCACCCCCTCCGCTTCCGGCCCCGGGTGCACCACGCCTCCCGCCCTGGCGACCCGGCGTCGTGCAGCCTTCGCGATCGATGCGCGCCCCACCCCCAGCAGATGAAGGGAAGGGGTTCCCCTGCTGCTCGCTGGCTCTGCAGCGGTGACAGCTCTACACGCCCGAACTCTCGGCCTGTCGATTCCCTGGGTGCCACGGCCCCTGCAGTACTGGGGCCTGAAAAAGCAGAGGCAGGTGGAGTTGAGAAATTTACATGACGTGGCAGTCCTACTAGCTAAAGAGAAAACGACCATTTTTGTTTGTAATAACTCTGAAACTGTGTAACTCAGATCAGGACCAGAAACCATGATCTGTTAACTGAGATCTTACACCTAGCCTCTGGTCTTAAAGAAGTTCAGGTTCTTGATGTCTCGTTGTGGGAAGAATTAAGAGTGAGATGAAGTGAAAGGTAAGAAGTGGATTTACTTGGAGACAGTCCACAGTGTGAGCCCGCTCAGAGAGCAAGAGCAGCCTCAGGGTTCGGGGGTTACTGGGTTGTCACTTTTTATAGTGGATAAATTCATAGACTAATAAGTAGGAGGCCTATTCCAGTTATTTTGGGAAAGGGGTGGGGATTTCCAGAAAGTGGGCCACTGCCCACTTTTTGACCTTTGTGGTCAGCCTTGTGGAACTGTCTTGGTGTTGGTGGGTGTGTTATCTACTTTCTGATGTGTTATAATGAACCTACACTGAGGCTCAAGGTCTTGTAGCTCAAGATCTGTTGAGATATGCCATCTTGGACCTATTTGGTTCTAATCTAATCAATTTATGTTGTGTCCTTGGGCTGTGTCATTCTGTTCAAGGTTGTGCCCTGCTTCCTTTCCCTACTGTTTCAGTGCTTTCCTCTTTTTCTTTTCCGGAAGCTGGAAGGATGAGGTGGTTGGATGGCATCATTGGCTCAACAGAATCTGTTGAGTGTGCTCAGTGGCTCAGTAATATCCAATTCTGCCACCCCATGGATTGCAGCACACCAGGCTTCCCTGTCCTTCATTATCTCCCAGAGTTTGCTCAGACTCGTGTCAATTGAGTCAGAGATGCTCCTAACTGTCTCATCTTCTACCTCCCCTTGTCCTTTTGTCTTCAGTCTTTCCCAACATCAGGGTCTTTTCCAGTGAGTCAGTTCTTTGCATCAGGTGGCCAAAGTTTTGGAGCTTTAGTTTCAGCATCAGTCCTTCCAATGAATATTCATTCTTTCTTTCTTTTACGATTGACTGGTTTGATCTTAGTGTCCAAGAGACTCTGAAGAGTTTTCTCCAGCACCACAATTCGAAAGCATCAGTTCTTTGGTGCTCAGCCTTCCTTATGGTCCAACTCTCACATCTGTATGTGACTACTGAAAAAACCACAGTGTGTATATATATATATTTATATATATATACATATATCAAAAGCTAATAGATACATTATTAAGTATATATAATATAAGACATATGTATTTATATTCTATAGGATCAGCTTCTCTGAAGAAAACTGATTAATATAGATTTCTATATGCTAGCAATGAACAATCTCACATTTAAAAAACAGTTCCATTTACTATAGCATCGAAAGGGGTTTCCCTTGTAGCTCAGTTGATAAAGAATCTGCCTGTAATGCAGGAGACCTATGTTCGATTCCTGGGTTGGGAAAATCCCCTGGAGAAGGAAATGGCAACTCACTCCAGTATTCTTGCCTGGAGAATCCCAGGGATAAAAGAGCCTGGCAGGCTACAATCCATGGGGTCACACTATTTGGACATGACTTAGCAACTAAACCACCACCACTTCAGCGTAAAAACAAGATACTTACTAATAAATTTAACAAAGAGGGTGTTAAACTTCTGAAAGCCAAATGCATTGTTGAAAGAAAGACCTGTATAAGCAAAAGGACAGCCCATGTTTGTAGATTGAAAGACCTAGTATTTTTAAGATAGTAATATTCCACAAATTATAGAATCGATGCAATACCTATCAAACTTGGCCTTTTTGCAGAAACCAATAAGCCAGTCCTAAAATTCATATGGAAATGCAGGGAACCCAGAATAACCAAAGCACTCTTGAAGAAAAAAGTTGGAAAACTCACTTTCCAACTTTAAAAGTTATTTCAAGCCTGCAATGATCAAGACAGTACAGTGTTTGATTAAAGGGAAATAGGAAAATGTCACAGAATTGAGAATCCAGAAATAAGTGTTTACATTTATAGTCAATTGTGGGGGTTTTTGTCTTTGTTTTTTTACAAGAGTACCAAGATAATTCTATAATGAAAGTATAGTCTTTTCTAACAAGTGATGCTGGGACAACTGAATGTCTACATGCAAAAGTTAACTCAAAATAGATTTTAAAAAGCTTAAATATAAAAGCTCAAATGAAACTCTTGGAAGAAAACATAGGCACAAATTTTCATCACCTTGGATTAGGCAATGGTTTCTTAGTTATAACACCAAAACCACAAGCAAGAGAAGTCCATTGGACTTCATCAAAATTAAAAACATTTGTGCATCAAAGGACACCATCAAGAAAATGAAAAAACAGCCTACAGAATGGGAGAGACTATTCACAAGTCATATATCTAAAAGAGACCTGTATCTAAAATATACAAAAACTCATAAAACTCAGCAATTTAAGAAAAAAAGATAATCCTATTTAAAAATGAGCAAAGGACTTGAATAGACATTTCTCCATATCAAATATCCAAATGACCAATAAGCACTTAAAAAGATCATAATTAGTCATTAGAAAAATTCAAATCGAAACCACAGAGAGATACCACTTTGCACTACAGTGTCAACAGTCAAAAAAATCAGAGATAAATGTTGATAAGAGTTAGGAGAAATTGAAACCATTATAATGTTCTACATACATATACATGCAAGCCAAGTGTGGAGAGATGTCAAAATGTTAGAATACACGCAGGGACAAACAAACTGAACTGTAATGTAAATGATTAATGTAACCACAAAGAAGTGGGTAGAGAAAAAAAGAACTAAGTTAAGTAACTTTGGAAAAGAGTATTTTGACTGTATACCATAAGGCCAAAGACAAAAATAGCTTTATAAAAATATTGCACAAATATTGTACATTTGTTTTTCACAGGGGTGAATATTAACACTTGTGAAATGACTTTATTCTAGAGTTGAACAATAACGAAAGATATTGTGGATAGTGAGAGCCAGGTTTCTCTCTGTTGGAAAAACAAGTTACAAATAAAGACTTGGGGAATGAACCCTCTAGTGCAGGTTTGCAGTCGTTGTTGCTGTTGTCAGTCACTCAGTTGTGTTTGACTCTTCGTGACCTCATGAAGTGCAGTATGCCAGGCCTCCCTGTCCTTCACCACCTCCAGGAGCTTGCTCAAAATCATGTCCATTGAATTGGTGATGCCATCCAACCATCTCGTCCTCTATCATCCCCTTCTCCTCCTGCCATCAATCTTTCCCAGCATCAGGGTCTTTTCTAATGAGTCAGCTCTTTGTATCAGGTGGCCAAAGTATTGGAGCTTCAGCATCAGTCCTTCCAATTAATATTCAGGATTTATTTCCTTTAGGATTGACTGGTTTGATCTCTTTGCTGTCCAAGGGACTCTCAAGAGTTTTCTCCAGTACCACAATTCGAAAGCATCCATTCTTTGGCGCTCAGCCTTCTTTATGGTCCAACTCTCATATCCATATGTGACTACTGGAAAAACCATAACTTTGAGTATACAGACCTTTGTCAGCAAAGTGATGTCTGCTTTTTAATACACTGTCTAGGTTTGTCATAGCTTTTCTTCCAAGGAGCAAGAGTCTTTTAATTTCATGGCCTCAGTCACCATCTGCAGTGATTTTGGAGTCCAAGAAAATAACATGTTGTAATTAGAAGTCTCGGTACCAGGACTTCCCTGGCAGTCCAGTCATTAAGGCTCTGCACTTCCACTGCAGGGAGCACAGGTTCAATACCTGGTGGGGTTATTAAGAGCCCACATGCTGGGCGATATGGCCAAAAAAAAAGAAGTGTCAGTATTTGAACTAACACACAAAAATAGAAGTGTCAGTATGAACCCATGGTTTTAAACATAGTGGGAGGGAGCAGTTATTTGGCTGCATCGTCACTCGGGCTTGTTGATCTTTGTTGAGACATGCAGGATCTTTTGTTGTGGTATTCAGGGTCTAGTTCCCCAACCAGGGATCTTACCCAGGCCCCCTGCACTGGGAACTCAATCTTATCCCTGGATCACCAGGGAAATCCCAATTCACAATAAAAGTCTGAGAAATAAACTAGTGAAAGCATGGAATGGGAAAGCTCCTACTGTGAAATTTTAATTGACCCAGGTGTAAATCAACAAGTATTCACTAACCATCCATTCCAGCAGGTTCCTCACGCATCTCCCAGCCAGTAAGCTCTCCTGCAGTCAGAGCGCACACACCACCACCACCAAACCCAGCTTCCTTACAAAGAAAACGTTGTGTCCATATCACTGTCTCTTTTAAAAATTACTTTCAAAACCAGCCTCACATCATGGGACACAAGGCTCCTCTCAGCCTGGACCCAGATGAACTGAGCAGCTCCATAACTCACCACTTGGGCCACAGCGTGCAGTGCTCCTATAGACCTCTGTGCATGGCTGATGTCACAGCTGTCACAATGTGCTGATTGTGAAAGCTTCATTCACTTGGGTTAGAGAATGAACACCAGAGTACTGAAAAGATAGTCCCTAAACTGCTGTGCATAAGATGACTTTACATTGCTCCTCGAAGAGAAGGAGGGTAGTGACTCAAAATGGGAAAAAAAAAAAAAAAAAAGAAGGGGAGAGATTGTGGAGCTCACGAAGCTAGTTTCCGCTGTGTTTGAGGGAAGAGAAGTGTGGAGTCCTGCTCCAAGGCCACCGATGGGAGGCCTTGCACCAAGGCCACAGATGTGGAGCCCAGAACCAAGGTC